TATACATACGTGCTGGGGTCGAACATGTTGCGGAGGACAAAGCAAGGAGAAGGATCAGAAGAACTCGATTTGCTGCCGCCCAACATTTCTCGAACTTTCTGTCCTATATCCGCATCTGGCTCAGCAGCGGGTGCTGTCTTCTTATTAGGTCGCATCTGGTTACCACTCGCCAGTTTGGCCATCAGTTGGACTCTAGCATTAGCGTTCATTTCAATTCCACCTCTGTCAGTTTCCTCGTCATCCAGAACTGATCCCATGTTGGAAATGGAATGATCCATTTTCTCAGTGACTTCTCCCACCTTGATGGGTTTTCCAGCAAGCTCGAATCCGTTCAGTTGTTCCTTGGCTCGTCTGGCTGACTCAGCCTCGCGATACTGAACAAATCCATACCCTCTACTTCTGTTGGTTTCTGGATCTATCATCAGCTGTAGTGTATCAATCTGAAGAAAATGATTTTTATTAACAAACCATTAACTGTAAAGTTGCTAGCTTCTTCAGTCTATCACGAAAAATCAAGGGAGATTTGATGAACAGCAATAAACTTACGTAGCCGAAAGGTTCGAAGATAGCTCTGAGCATAGTTTCGGTGATGTTGCAGTGGAGAGATCCCACGTAAAGACGAGTGGGGCCCTGTTCCTTTGCCAAGTTGGCTAACATAGCTGCCCTGTTCTTTTCCGCCTGCAGGAAATAGAAGTTGATGATTGGGTACACAATTCAAATTCTATACTGTAATTATACAGGGTGGGCCAAAAGTCAGTACCCATACGTTGGCCTTAATAGCTCCGCCGTGTTTTATATTTGAGAGCTGTTGCTTTGCAGATGGCATACTGTACTTACTGGTTCGAGGATTCCGTCGTCAAAATTTGAAAATTCGAATATTTTAGACCACGCCCATTCAATATTAAAACACCTATATTGTTTTCTCTGAACATGCTGAACGCCTAATTTTTTCAGAGACGGTAGATTGTCAAATGTTGCATATGATCTGAAAACATGAGGCAAAACGGATTAGAAATGACGAAGTTATCAAGCATGTTCTGTATCTCGTTAACAAAATTGACTGGGTGATTATGTGCAGGGTTGCCGGCATTTTTGAGTGACATTTTTAAGGTTTTTTCACGTCTTTTAAGGCCCCTTTTGACCCATTTTTAAGGTCCAAAACAGTTAAATTTAAGGTTTTTTAAGGTTTTCCGCTACAGAAATTGCAATCATATGACATATCTAAAGGGGGAAGGTATAATTTCAGAAAACCCCAATTAGATCTACAACAAGCTAGGTATAATTTCAGAAAAACCCAATTAGATCTACAACAAGCTAGGTATAATTTCAGAAAAACCCAATTAGATCTACAACAAGCTAGGTATAATTTCAGAAAAACCCAATTAGATCTACAACAAGCTAGGTATAATTTCAGAAAAACCCAATTAGATCTACAACAAGCTAGGTATAATTTCAGAAAAACCCAATTAGATCTACAACAAGCTAGGTATAATTTCAGAAAAACCCAATTAGATCTACACCGAGCTAATTATAATTTCAGAAAAACCCAATTAGATCTACACCGAGCTAGGTATAATTTCAGAAAATCTTATCAGGTCTACACCGAGCTAGGTATAATTTCAGAAAATCTTATCAGATCTTCATCAAGCTAGGTATAATTTCAGAAAATCTCACTAATCCGGAAAATCCATTTAGATCTACATCAAGCTAGGTATAATTTAGGTATGGAACCTTAAAAAACCTTAAAAACCCGAAAATTTGCCCGTTTTTCACGTCTTTTTTAAGGTTTTTTGCCCAAAATTGCCGTTTTTAAGGTTTTTAAGGTTTTTTAAGGTTTTTAAGGTCCCCCGGCAACCCTGATTATGTGACACCGTGACACGACACCTTAATTGGGCACCCTTAACAATTCCCATAATGTTTAACGGGGTAGTTAACGGGGTCACCTTATCACGTGATTAGGTAAACCAATCACCTGATCACACGTAATGAATAAACTCGTTATGCTTCATATCTCGGTCATCTGAGAAGCTACAGTTCTAATTCTTTCAGGACAAACGTAATTCGAATGGCCAAACACAATTCAATAACATTTAGCTTGATCCGACTATCCAAACTATCAAATAAATGTGAAAATGAACCTCTATTTGAAAAAAATGAACGCGAATATTTTTCGAGTTGACAAATTCCTCGAACCAGTGGTGGTACTAAGTCATACCAGAATGAAGTATTTAAATTGGGCACTCAGTGACTGAGCTATAAAGGCCAACGTATGGGTACTGACTTTTGGCCCACCCTGTATTATTATTAGATATGAAACGTTTTAGCAGGTTCTAAATTAATAGTCATTTTGATTGGTATCAAGATTTACTAATTGAAATTCATGTCACATAAAGTTAACTCTCACCTGCGTATGTTGGACTTGTATGGGAATGCCCATGATTTTAGTGCCAGACAGTTTAAGGGCCGGTGCGACTGAATCCTCTTCAAAGAACTCGATGTAAGCAATTCCCTTACATCTTCTACTATTTCTGTCTGATATGATTCTGACATCTCGCACCTTAGAAAGATTTGTGCATGAATATTGCGGTAATAACAGACCGAAATCCTCCATTTCCTGCTTCACAATAGAACAAAGTAACAAAAGCAATATCTGCAGTTTGTACAGCAATGTAACCTGATGAGACAAAAGTCGACATTTATTTAAAAAACTAGACTTACCTTGCCAACTTGAGAAAAGAACTCCTCAAGATCTCTAGCTCTAAGTCGAGTGTGGAGTTGCATGCAGAACACAGTCCTCTTATCTCTCTCCTCTGGAGGCACTTCAACATCGTACCCTCTTGCAAACCCATGATCTGCACCACTAATGGAGATGGAACAGTTAGCAACAGCCCACAGTATGTAATATCGTTTAAACTTAGTGGAGAAAGTAAAATGTGAACTAGGCAATATAGTTTTATTGTGCACTAAATGCCTTACCCTGCGCCGTATCTCCAATGAAGACTGCTGGATCTACTTCGTTTGCCTCTTCCGCTCTTGTGGCCCGGACTTCCCCGTTTCTTGTGACGAGACGACCTTTCTTTAGACTTGCTCTTTCTGCCGCGTGACCTACTTCTTCTTCTGCTCTTACTCTTCTTGTGTTTCTTGTCCCGGGATCTAGAACGAGACTTGCTGTGCTTGGACCGCCGTTTTTTACTCTTACTCCTGCTTCTACTCCTGCTCTTACTCTTGCTTCTCTTGTGCTTTCTGACAAACAAAGTTCATGTTTAACTTCATGTCTATTAGCGGTCAAATAATGAAGAATTAAGAAATAATAAGTTAATCTTAATCTGGTTATCTAACATTTGTTGAAACTGTAAATATGTGGTTAGTAAGAACTTACTTAGATTTCTTGTGGCCTTCACTTTCCTTCTTATCTGCCTGAAAAGATAAGATTAATATAAGAAGGGCGAAATTGCAGTAGTTTAAAAGTGGGGACAGCCACACTACAAGGTAAAAGAGTTGGCGACAAAATATCAGTCAACGAGTAGCAGAGCAGATGACTCTGATATTGAGATGAAGCCACTGATCCTCATATGTCTCGATCCTCACGGCCTGCAATTTAGATACCTCATTAGTTTTACTGAGTTATTCACAGGAAAATGCTCTAGTATTTATTTTCTCATCAAACTCTGATACTTTAAAAAGGCTCGTAACTTCACGGCAGCCATAAAATATGCCCGAAAAAAAGGATGAATTCAGGGATCGAATGCATCCTGTGTTGCCTTTTTCCCTGCACAGTCCTGTTAAAAGAGGTATTTTATCTTTAATCTCGCTAACATCAAGGCACGAATGTTGAGTTTATTCTTATATATCTATGTTGAATTAGTGTAACGATGATGAGGAGCATCATTTGTACAACCGTTTAAAAGAGTGATCAGACAGAGCCTAATTTAAAAATTTTTCGCACGAGGTACTTTATCAGTTACGCAACTGCGCAGAGTAACCAGTTATAAAGTTTAAACATCCAGCATTCCTTTGAAGGTTTAAACTTTAGAAGATTATAATCGAATCAATCACAAATCGAATGGATCACAAATCGAGCTTTAAAAGCTCGGGGATCTATCGAGTAATTAGCTGTGACACACTGCACTTCATGGGGCGTCCTGGAAAGAAATATCTATCAGTACAATGTCAATTGAGAATGTATGCTTAGATACACATGTCACGATATACTTGTGAAACGACCGCAACATTGGGGACATTTATTCGACCAAAATGTGGAACCTGCACCTTACCATTACACTCATACAGGAGGGGAGAAACGCCGTGTAGTCTAAATAAGACAAATGTTAGAGTTCTTGATATGATATAAAATTAAACGGCTAGTACATACCAGCATATCAACGGGTGTAGAGTAAATGTGCACGTGGCCATCGTCAAATTACTCGATGTCATTGCATACGATTAGGACTAAGCAAGACATTGCTTTATAGCCGGCCAGGCACGCAGCTTACTCTACAAGACCGTGTCAACTGCCGTGTACATACGAACCACGCTCATGAAATATTCCTACAGCATGTCATGTGTTTGTAGCAAACGAAAATGGTGGGTTCAAATCGTACTGGGCCAGGGCCGGAGGGACGAATTATTCCATATTTGGTGAAAACGGCTGTCTAAACGCTAACAATGTTTGATTGCTACAGAAGAATATAATTTGGTGATGCGCGCGCGACGTCAATATGCCTGACAATATGGTGCTTTAAAGTGTTCACTCACCGAATCTTCCTGTTTTTTCTTCTCCAAGGGCGCGTCCAACATCGCCTCTATGTCCATGTCATCGTCCATAGTGGCTACTATAAAATCATGAATGGTCAGATATAATCAAGAGTAGCACGATTAATTCATAAAAAACATTACACAGGATCGAAACGGTTCAAGTGCCAATCTGAACTGAGTGGCTACATTCAACAAGACTCGATTTCTGAAGCTATCTTGAAAATCGAAATAAAACCTACAAAAAATTATAAGACAGCCTTTGAAAATGATGACATCAATGTAATGAATATAAGCATTACAATAAATAAAGACATTAAAACAATTTCCAAATACAAACGCAACATGTCATTCGGCCATAAAATTTTTATTAAAAACGATTTTAACTTTAAATATTTCAGCTGAATGAGATTCTATGTCACAAAGTCCCAGCCCTGGAAAGCATTTTAAAACTTGTCTGAAACAAAAATATAGTAAAAAGACCGAGAGACTCTAAAATTCGTGATGGTGGTTGAACTTGGGATGAATTTTGGGTGACAAGTTTATTTCCTCAATAAAAGCAAGCGTGAAATTTTTCTTGCTGATCATTAAATACCTCTTCGATCTATCTCACATCGAAAATTGTAAATACAAGAATCACTCCAGAGAATATTACAAATAAAATACGGAGATATCTGGTGAAGAAATACTACCTGGCTGGGGAATCTGGTACAGGTATCGGGGCAGCACTGCTATTAGCAGAGTTTATAGTCAATGGTTTGGGTGCTTGTGGTTGTGGCACCGAGGGCTGTTGCACTGCAGCAGCTTGTTGGTGCTGCGCTAACTGTTGCGCTTGTTGCTGTTGTTGGACTAGGAGTGCTAAGCGCTGCTGGAATAGTGCCCTCTCTGCTGGTGCGAGCTGGAGAAGGAACAGTAAGTATTTTATCAGATAACAGATAAAGCATACTAGCGAGCTGCTACTCTAGTTCGGATGGTGTAAAAGAAATAAGATATATCTAGAAACATCTGCGCAAAATATCGTTTCTCAACGTAGGTAGGTTCTATAAGGTCTTGACAACCACTTTTATTATTTTCCTAAGCTACCCTGTCAAGGAAAAGTCCGAATTGGGTAAGGTTGTCCGGTAGCCAATTTGTCCTGTGCCAGGAGTTTTAGGAGACGCTACTCATTTAAATGACCGCAATTGTTATTGAGCTATTTCAAGTCACGACTTCACGAACTTTTTTATCCCGATCTGTGGCAGGAGTTTTGGGATAAACAATCCCATTAAAATTACCACAATCAACACATGGCAGATGTAGGCATATGATAGTCTCAAACCCGCTTACAAGGCTTTTAACAGAGTTTCCGGAATCAAAATGAGTGTTTGAATGAAACGTCTCTGATCTGGACGTAAGTTAGGAAAAAAGAGACCACAGACTGAGTACATAATTCTTTATACAGTCATACTCAGTACTTTAATACATTACATAAAGTGTTCTGCATTTACCACATGCAATAATATCGGTTACACATAACTCGTAAGCTGTACATGCTAACAAGAATTTCAAAATCAGTACTTTTATCTGTAATATTCTGTTTAAATTTGTAATGGTTCTTCATTTAATCAGTTATTTTTACTCCATTTTTTGTACCTAAGCTAGATTGTATGCTTATATATAAACCGTGACCATATAGGCTGGAACCATATAATGAGCTGTGACCTTGTGGATGAACCGGCTTCAATATACCCTGTACTCAATTTGTTAACGGTTACACCCGATTATCCTTCACTTTGTGAGATGTCAAGCTGTCAGTAGGATGTATAGAATGTACATTTTACAGAATGTATAGAATAGTAGGTATCACTTCGCAATCATTGTAACTTAAAAGCTAACTGTAACTTGACGGGATGGGAAAAGGAACCGCCAATTCATCCACAAATAAGGACACTTACATTATTGCATATGATAATTGCCGAACACGTTATGTATTACAATACTGAGTATGACTGTATAGTGTTTTTCCTAATCCTACTTACTAGCGGCTGTAACCTCCTACATTTTGCCAGCCACAGGTCTGAGTAGATTCATCTATACAGTATACACTATACAGTATACACTATACAGAGTATGTACACTAAATGAGATTCCAGGAGTTCTGGAAACGGCCTAATAACTCACAAAGAAGACCGCATACTGTACTCGTGATTCCAGACAGCCAACTTAAACTTGTTCCAGAAAGTTATGTCCATCGATTTGAGACGGACAAATTTTGTTGGTTTCTTTCAAGACTCTAGAAACCCAACTTTTTTACAGCACGTGATAATCATACATAGGTATGTACCTGATTGATAAGATGTTGCTGAGGAAGCACCCTGGCCATTTGGGCAGCATGTATCTGCTGAGCTTGCTGTTCTTTGATAGAGTTGATGAAGACTTGTTGTTGTTCAGGTCCTAGTCCCTCTATATGGAGCTGACCTGGGAGACACGAGGTACAGAGACATACATACCAGGATGACATACATACCAGGATGACGTACACTTTGTACTTTTAGTGTCGAATCATTTATCCAAGATTTAACAACTTTATTTTTAATGATAAAATGTAAATCAAGCTAATAATAACGGTAAATGGTACCGTAGGGACAGTTCACATATCACGTAGGCACCTTATAGCAAGATCTTATACCAGAACTTAGTAGAAATAGCATAAGTAATTCCAAACAGCCGGTCACTTGTCAGTGCTAACATTACAGAGGCTCCCTGTTACTCTGTACTCACAACATTCCCTAATTAGAAGTTTCCAACTAACAACACTCACCTCCTCCCAGTGCTTTAACATGCAATCTGCCAGATTGGACTACAGGTTCCAGTTGATGCTGGATAGAAACGATCTGCTCGTTAGTGAACCCTCCCAGGATCAGTTCCTGCTGGTTGGAGTAAATGGGTGTGATGATTGGGCCAGAGTAGGCTTGTGTGTGGGCTGCTAAACGTTGGAACACACTTTGCTGGCCTGTTGGGGCATTCACCACATTCCTGCGCTCTTTGTCCATCTTGAAGTTGGCCCAAGCTGCCTTGCGTTCCTCATCTGTCAGCTGCTGTTCTGTTTATTTGGAGATGTTAATGAGATGGTTAGCATGATAGCTTCCTTATCATGATAGCTTCCTAACAGCACAGATAAGACTTATAATTTACATTAATAGCGTGTGACGTATAAATTTGATAAATGTTCCAGAGTTATTGTAACGACAACCAATAAATTGAAAAATGTTCAATCATCAGCACCTTAAAAATTACAAGTTCGACCGTCAAATGGAAAAAAATATGAAAAACTCAATAACTTGCTATCTAGATATAAAAAATGTTCCACTGACAATTGACTAAACACGACCCAGCTGTACATACCTGGCCTATGCTCAAGCAGTGAGTCGTGCTCGTGATATTCCAGGACAAGTGGAGGGTCCAAGTCAACCAAGATGGACGCTAACACATCGTCAGCTGGCGGATTGTGATTGGCTAATACTGATGTAGTACACGTCTGGGCTGAGGGGTCGAAAGCGAACAAGGTCTGTAGATCATTAGCAGAGAAGTAACGAGTAATCTGCTTCTCGTCCACCACTCTACTTGATAGAGACTCCTTGTATACCTAAAATATGATGAGAGATAAAAGTTAGTGCTTTAAAACATGATAGATTGAACAATTAAGCCAGAAGTTAAGTACAAAAACTTGAATAATTATGATTTAGTAGAATGTAGATAGATATGTATTGAGTATTTAAATGTACATATTGTATATTTAATGGGGGGGGGGGGGGGGGGGGGGGGGGTGCACGTCCGTCTATGTCCTGTCCTTTTTGGATTCTATGAGACAACGGACGTGTTTTTTGGGACATTGGCGGACTCGGACGGACATTGGCGGACATTGGTGGACATTAGCGGACAAACATTTTGAGAATTTTTCGCAACTTCTATGTATTATAATTTTGTACAAAAGAGGACTGGGGAGGAGGAGGAGGACTGTTGAGGACTGATGAGGACGAGGAGGAGGAGTAGGAGGAGGACTGAGGAGGGGAGGAGGAAGAGGACTGGGGAGGATCAGGAAGACCCAGGAGGAGGACCCAGGAGGAGGACCCAGGAGGAGGAGGAGGAGGACTCAGGAGGACTGAGAAGGAGGAGGACTGAAGAGTACTGAGGAGGATGGCTGAGGAGGATGGCTGAAGAGGATGGCTGAGGAGGATGGCTGAGGAGGATGAGGACTGAGGAGGATGGCTGAGGAGGATGGCTGAGGAGGATGACTGAGGAGGACTGAGGAGGATGGCTGAGGAGGATGACTGAGAGGGAGGAGGAGGAGGAGGAGGAGGAGGAGGAGGAGGAGGAGGAGGACTCAGGAGGAGGAGGACTGAGGAGGACTGAGGCCGAGGAGGAGGATGAGAACTGAATAGGAGGAGGAGGAGGGGGACTGGGGGGGGACTGAGGAGGAGGATGGAGGACTGAGGAGAAGGATGAGGAGGAGGACTGAGGAGGACTGAGGAGGAAGAGGAGGAGGATGAAGAGGAGGAGGAGGACCCAGGAGGAGGACTCAGGAGGAGGAGGAGGACTGGGGAGGAGGAGGACTGTTGAGGACTGATGAGGAGGACTGAGGACGAGGAGGAGGAGTAGGAGGAGGACTGAGGAGGAAGAGGACTCAGGAAGATCAGGAAGACCCAGGAGGAGGAGGGTGAAGAATTTCCATTTTTGTCCGTTTTTGTCCATTTTTGTCCGCTCTATTTTTTGTCCGTTTTGAAAATATACGGTATCGAACGGACAAAAAACATGATCACCCTATAACAGCAAAAATTGAACATTTTGTTTAACAATTTAGGTGTCCATTAATGTCCGCTAATGTCCGCCAAAGTCCGTACATGTCCGTCTATGTCCGCCAAAGTCCGTCTATGTCCATATATGTCCGTCTATGTCCGCCTATGTCCGTCTATGCCCTGTCCTGTCCTGTCCTGTCCAGTCCTTTTTGGATTCTATGAGACAAGCGGACATAGACGGACGTGACACCCCCCCTATAATACATATAATGTAATATACAGCTTAAGCTTCAAATTATGTAGGAAAAACAATTTCCCACAACTCGATAAAGTCCAAATTTATAAATCCAAGCTGGTCCTAACCTGCCTATCGTATATCTTCTCTTCCATTGTACCTCTGGCAACCAATCTGTAGACATAAACATTCTTCTGTTGTCCGTATCTGTAGGCTCTGAACAGTGACTGAGTGTCGTCACTCGGGTTCCAAGACATGTCAAACAGAATAATTCTGTTAGCTGAGACGAGGTTGATACCTGAGGAAAGTCATCATTTTAATAAGGTTAAATTTTAGATCATAGTGGAAGTATGGGATAAGATGCAACTCAAAAATCGGACAGTATTAAATAGGGCACAGAATCGAAGGACGAAAGCCAAAATATCTTACCCAATCCTCCAGCCTTAGTGGAGATAAGGAATAATCTGCATCGTTTGTTTGACTTGTCATTGAACTGTTTCTGAAAAGATTGACGGTGGGCAGTCTTTGTGGAGCCATCCATCCGGAAGTAATCTCTCCCCTTCAACCATCCCACTCTATTTATAGAGGTTTCAAGAAAATCTAGTGCTAGAAGACTCTGACTGAAAAGTAAGACTTTGTCTCCTTTCTGAGAAGCTTTGTCCAGTATTTCCAGAGTGACCAACAACTTTCCACTATGTTCCAACATTTTCTCATCTTTGTCGGTCATCTCTCCTTTGAACCAGTTGTAGTCGACTCCACCAGAATTTGGTATGATTGTGTCTGCAATGGCTGATACCATTGTTGGGTCTGGAGCACCTGTCATATTTTCTGGTTTAGCTTCTTTTTGCTTTTCTGGGTCCTTTTTACCTTCTTCCTCATCATCGCCATTCTTGTTATTTTTCTTTTTCTTGTTTGGACGAAAATCAGAATCATCACTACTGGCTTCCCAACTTTCCTCTGATGTCTCCTTGTCGGTTATAAAGTCCTCTATGCTGTCCTTCTCGTTTTTCAGAGCATCTATCTCAAGGAGCCAAGGATGAGTCCAAACTTTCTTCAAAGTCTGATAACACTCAAACAGCTTTGACATCATTCCACCTGAAGCCTTAGCCTTGTCAAGGTATTTCGTATATAACTTAACTTGAAGGTCAGACAGTTTAATTGAAAGAACATACTCAAACTTTAAGGGGAGGAATGCCTTCAATACATGGTAATCCCTTCGCTGGACACAAGCCGATAATTGTTCATATAGAATGTGAGATCTTTCTTTCATCAACTTCATGTCAAAATCTGTGGCATCAGCACACTGGCCATTGTTGATTGGATTTTCGTACATGTTCTTAAACTCCTTTGTTGTACCTAATAGATTGGGTTTAACAAAACTTACCATACAGTGGTACTCGACAAGGTTATTCTGAAGAGGAGTTCCAGTGAGAATGACTCGACGTTTTGTTTTAAGAGAATTCAAGGACTTGGAAATACCAGTCTTTTCGTTCTTGATGACATGACCTTCATCACATATAACGATATCTGGCCCAGGATCAACCAAATACTTCATAAACCTTTCTTTCAGATGCTTCTTCCTTATGTTGCTTCCTGTAGACAATAATCTGAAGAGAGAGTATCCCATAATAAGAACACCAGATGTCTCAAACCAATTCTCAACTATTTCAGCTCTCTTGTCGTTGTTATGAATACTATCAGTCAGCACACTTACTTCAGGTGCATCATCTATATCTTTCACCCACTTATCAAACTCTGCTTTCCAGTTTAGAATGGTGTTCAAAGGGCATACGACAAGGGCTCGCTTGAATCCAAATATGTAATGATAGTTCAAGACTGTGGTTAGAAATGTGATTACTTGGAATGTTTTTCCTAAACCCATGCAATGAGCTAAAATAGCACCTGACCCAGGGCTGCCATTTTTACATTTCTCTACAGACTCTATGCAGCAATCGTACATAAACTGTATTCCATCAAGCTGGTGAGGTTTTAATCGTTTTTTTAAATGCTTATGTACCTCGATGACCTTTCCCTTCTCCTCATCGTCTATGGTGGGAGGCTTTCCCCTGTACTTTTCTTTGCGGAGGTCTTCAAGAATGAAATTGAGAATTTTTCCTTGTTGACTTGGCAGTGACTTTTCTTTCAGGTGACTCCTCCTTTTATCTTCAGCTTCCTGTGCAGCTACTGTTTCTTTCTGAAGTTGGTTTTGACCCATGATCTTTCTAATCTTTTTGCGCTTACCTCTTTTGCTCTTGGATTTTTTTCCATTTTCATCCTCATCATCATCATCATCATCATCATCAGTCTCTGATTCAGAAGACTCCTTTTTCTTACGCTTCCTCTTTCCTTTCTTTTTACGTTTTTTGTCATCTCCTTCAGAATTTTCGTCCCCGCTTTTAGCTGCTTTCTTCTTTTTGACCTTACTTTTTCCTTTCTTGTCATTTTCTTGATTTTCATCATCTTTACCCTTATCTTTTTTGTCCTCAACCTCTGATCCTGATTCACCTTCTTTGGAACTGTCAGAGCTTTCTGAGTTTGATTTTGCTTCAGAGCTTTCATCGGAACTCACTTCACTGTAGTTTGAATGTACACTTTCCTTGTCAGAAGGTTCCTTGTATTTCGATAACTTGTTTCGATATTTCTGCACTAGTTCATCATTGTCATCAGATGGTTCTTCATCATCACCATCTGATGAATCAAGTTGTTTGCGAATGTGTTTTGCTTTGATTTTAGAATTGCCTGTATCAAATAGTGAATCATCTGAGCTGGTATCTTCATTCTTGTTTGTTTTCTTTATCTCTGTCTCTTTAAGTGATGCTGGTTTATCTTCAGATTTTTTTGAATGACCAGTATTATTATCTTGGCGATCTTTGGCCTTTTTACGGATGCACTTCAAAAATGCTGCATCATCTATGTCACTTGAATCATCAGAATCTGACTCTTTACTATTACCATTTACTCTTTCTTTAGAAGAACGCTTTTGCTTTGGTTTACTGTCTGCTTTCTTACTAGCTGAATACTCAGAGCCTGATGATGCTTTGTCACCATCTTCGCCCTTGTTATCAGATTCCTCATCTTCTGACTGCTCACCATCTTCCGACTCAAGCTGGGATTCTTCTTTTTGTTGAGATGAGGACAGCAGCTTAGCAGTATTTCTCTCCCTTATTCTGGTGGACACTAAACCTTGATAATCTTCTTTTTGAAGTTCTGCTTTAGTTACTTCATGCTCAAACTTTTCAATCAAATATGGATCCTTTATGCATAAATTTTGATACTTTACAATCATTTGAGAAACTTTTCGTAAGTCTTCTGTCATCTCAGGTATGCAAACTAAACATTCCCACTTACTCTTAGCCAAGATTTCTTCTTTGACTTTCTTTCCAAAGTTACGTTTAATGCAGTCTGTACAAAATGCTTTCTCACATTTGTCACAATATATAAGTTCACCCCCTTCACCACACCAGATGCAATATATCTGAGAGCCTTCCTCATCTATTCCAAATGTATCAGAATGATAAAACTCATGACACTGCCTGCAAACAGCAGTTTTCAAGTAAGGATGAACCAACATACGTCTTTGAAATGGTCTAAGAATAACATCACTGCCACATGAAGTACACTCTGGAGCAAGAACATTATAAAATCCAGGGCGGGCATTTGGTCGCTTCTTGCTTTTAGAAGGATTAAATACTTCAGTTGTCTCCATTAACAATGTTTTTGTCTCTTTGGGCAGAGATCCTGTAGCATTCCTAGTTACTCTTTTATTGTAGAAACCATTCTTTTTCTTATAGTATGTAGAGCTGTCACTGTCCGTATCATCAGATGCAGGTGAGTCATTCTGCTTAGAAACTGGATCTGTCTCTTTGGTGTCTGTGTCTTTAGAGTCTGTGTCTTTAGAGTCTGTGTCTTTAACCTCTGCATCTTTAGAGTCTGTGTCTTTAACCTCTGCGTCTTTAATGTCTGTGTCTTTATCATCTGTATCCTGCTTTAATGGTGGTAGTGTAGTGCTCTCCTGATCAGATTGTGATAATGAGGTAGTCTCCTCATCAGATTTCGGTGGAGATACATTTTCCTGTGACACTTCTTCAGTTTTGATTAACTTAAGACTACCATTAGGTACAATTGAACTTTCATCTTCTGCCCCATTGACATCTTCTTCAAGTTTGGATAGCCTGTCTAATTGCTTTTGATACTCATCACTATCAGACATCCTGTAAATGAAGAATTTAAAGCTGAATTGTGCTATGTAAAAATCTTGAATGTTCAAACTAAAAAAGAAGAAATGATTGGGACAGTTTTAGTTTATAAATCATGAAAAAGTTCTGGACTAGGACTTAACCTGAGACTGGAACTAAAATTGGTACAACTATTAATAGAACAGTAATCGACCGGGACATGATTTTAAGCCTGACCGGGACCGGGACCGGTGTCAGCCTATTTTATATGCTGTTATCTAACGACATCCCCTTTAGGTTATTCCATGTAATACAGTTCATTGTAAGTTGTTCTACATTCATTACCTGGTTTCATTGAATAGTAAACAAGTACAAGAACCTCACATAATAACCTCAAATTATTTTTTAACATCTATCCTACAGAAGTGTTGAGATATGGCACCAGTCAACGTTATTCCAGCGCTGATGCCGGGTCAGTCTATTCTAGATTGGGGAAGACTGTTTAAGCGAGCAACGGCACTATTTGCATCAGAGAAACAGAAAATTGACTCTCTTCCGGTTTACGTTTGCAGAAATGAAGGAGAAGTGGAGATCGCATTACTGGTTGTAGAAGAAAATACTGATGATGATCTAGATAAAGCACTCAAAAGGTTGAGCGAGCTTGTGGATGGTAAACCATCACGGGTTCTAGCGGCTCAAAAGTTCTTTGATTGTCCTGTTACTGGGGAGCTCAAGACTACATTCTTCATCTTGAAGAAATTAGGGAAAGAAGCAGTATTTTCAAATGATGTTGTACTGCTGAGATTCTTAAGTCTCATACCCTCAGGAGTTAAGTTTCATGAAGATAACAAGGCAAAGATAAAAGCGGATATGACGGATGTGGAATTACTGGAAATGTTTGCGTTGCTACAGCCACAGCTAGACAAAGCCCAAAACCATACTAAGCAGGAGTTGCAGATTAACATAAAGCAAGAGAAAGAGGATGGTTTCGTCTTCGCAGCAGATTTGGAAGAGAATCAGAGACCCACAGACTACACCGGAGAGTTGGATGCCTTGAAAGGTGAATTGGACTCCATTAAGCACTACCTGTTAGACCAGCATGAAGAGAACTGGACAGAGGAAAGAGAATGGGATGAAACTGAAGAGGTGTATTATGGAACAGAGAACAGGCAAAGAAGCACAAGAAGATGCTATACATGTGACAGGCAAGGTCACATTGCCACTCAATGTTTTAAACGTAAATGCAAGGCATGTGGTAAGCTGGGTCACAGTACTCATGAATGTGAGAAGAAGAAGTCAGGAGGATACTCAGGAGGATACTCAGGATCAGGAGGATACTCGAGAGGATCCTCAAGCTCAATGGGACACCCAGAGGGGCAGTCTAGAGGAAACAAACAACGTCCGCAGCAGAAAGACAATGGGAGAAGAGCAAACTTATGACTAGACGGACAGATTCAGTACAATGGTAAAATAGTTGCAGCGAGAATACTACTTGATAGTGGAGCAAACACATCCCTCATCAGTGCTGAATTGCTTCCTGAACTAGAAGATAAAATTAAAGATGGGGGCTCTATTAATGGGATTGGTGGTAAGCAGAAAACAGGGGACCCAGTGCAGTGTGATGTGATGTTTCACTCGGGATGGACCCAGACTCACTGGATGAAACCTACATTCTTACCCGCCCAGCCGGACTTGGTTATCCTTGGTACGGACTTTATGCAGAAGTTTGGACCGGATTTGATTGGGAGAAGGGTCGCGTTAAGCTGGGTGAACAGTGCAGTGGGTATACTGCCTACTCAGCGAGGACAAACAACCTACATACAACATCAACCCGGAGCTTTCTAACGAAGAAGTAGGTAATCTTAAAAATGTGGTAGATGAATTCAAAAATGTTTTTGCATCTAACCCCAAAGCCCCTCGCGAATACAAGGGTCCTCAACACTATATTGTAAGCGAAACTAATAGAGTTAGCTTTGATAAACCCAGGAGAGTCCCTGAAAAATGGATGGGACACATCAACCGCCAAATTGACGAAATGTTGGAGAATGGGATCATTGAACCGTCTGCATCGCCATACAACAGCAATGTAATCATAGTTGATAAAAAGGATGGGGATAAACGCTTTGTAATTGATTATCGTTCTTTAAATAAGGGCACTATTAAAGACTCGTATCCTTTACCAAACATAGACGAGCTTATAGACAAATGCCAAGGCGCAAAATACTTTACGCAACTTGACCTTGCGGCTGGTTACTGGTGTGTGCCTATCGCTGAAGAAGATAGACATAAAATAGCATTTAGCGTGCCGCGCGGTAAATACCAATGTTTAAGAATGGCATTTGGACTCAAAAACTCAGGTCCTACTTTTCAGAGGAATATGGATGCTATTGTGAAGAGTGCTAAGAAGAACATGACTAAGGAGCAGACTCAAGATGGTTCTGGATTGGACGATTACTCTGACAACCTGATACTATTCTCCAGGAATCTGGAAGATCATGTGAGTATGCTTAAGATCGTCATGAATGAATTGAGGAAAATGAACATGTCACTCAGAGTTGACAAATGTGAATTTTGCTACACTAAGATTGACTTCTTGGGATTTGTTATTGACGGAGTTAGTGTGGGTCCTTCTGAAGCTAATATAGATAAAGTCAAGCAGTTCCCTAAACCTAAAAACAAGAAAGAAATCCAACGATTTCTGGGGTTAGCTAATTTCAACAGAAGATTCATCAAGAATTATTCCACACTGGCTAAACCATTAACCTCCCTTGTTTCAGAGAAAGTGCAATTCGAGTGGGGTGCAACTCAAGAGGAAGCTTTCACAGTGTTAAAGGACAAGCTCGGCAATGTGAACAACCTTTACCTACCAAAGTGGAAGGTGTTAGACTTAGCAGAATACTAATCATTATATATTCATAGCATGAGAACCGGTTGAAGTTTGTAGAAAGAAGATTAAGTTTGTAGAAAGAAGATTTATGTTATTGTAGAGTATCAACCGGTACGTATTCCTTTAAACTATATATTTACAATGATCTATATACTATTATATATTTACAATGGATAATTGGAACTTGATATAACTATTTGAGTTTATATTATTGGTGTAATAAATCCTATTTATTACAGGTTCTGTTTCTATTTCAAACCCAGCGAGTTTCTCTTGTAAACAACTCAAGTCCTGTGAACACATATTAACAGAAGGAACCGTTTCACATACAGACTGATGCCTCTGGCATTGCGGTGGGAGGTATGCTCTATCAGGTGGATAAAATTGGTCAAATCTGCCCCATCTCGTTCCATTCCCAGACACTTACCAAGGCGGAGACAAGATGGGACGCTACTGATAGAGAACTTTGGGCTATTATCAGCTGCCTAAATAAATGGAGAGTGTATTGCTGTGAAGGAAAAGTAACATTCCATACAGACCACGAGCCACTGAAAAATATCCGCAACCGAAAAGACCCCCGGAACAAGATAATGAGATGGTTAAATGAACTCGAGGCTGTTGAGTATGAAGTTAGGTACATCCCTGGAGAATTGAATGGAGTAGTTGACAGTCTGAGCAGAATTGTGGTAAAGAATGACATTAAAACGGAAAGAAGCGATGCTGAAGCAGAAAGTCACATTTATGCTGAGTTGAGTAAAGGTGGAGAGAATGACAGCTCATTGAAAAATGCCCAAGACAACGATGCCTGGATTAAGTGGACTACATCTAGAATACAGAACAACAAGGTTATCTCTAGAGGACCTTATAAAAACACTAAATATCTAAGTGTTGACAGCTCAGGGCTGTTATATAAGGGAAGACGTATTGTAGTGCCACCAAGCCTTCAAGATAAAATAATTCAGGAGTACCACTGCCAAAGCCATCCTGGGCCAGAGATAACCGCAACCCAAATCAGGGCTAGGTTTTGGTGGAGAAGTTTATCTAAACAGGTAGATGCTTTCACCAAAGACTGTAGAACCTGTATTCAAGCCAAGAGTAGACCTGATAAGGCTGAAATAATTATCGCTGATGTCCCTAAATCCCACGAGATGATTTCCTTTGATATAGGCTCAATGCCTAAATCGCACAAAAGTTATTGTTGTTTCATACTGTGTGTCGACTTATGTACAAAAATGATAAACGCTACGGCTCTGCCCAATCAGACATCTAAGGTCCTCAAAGAAGCATTTTGGGAGAAACATATTGCCTATTATGGAGTACCTAAGATTCTAGTCTCTGACCAAGGCCCTAATGTAGACAAATCAGCCATCAAAGAACTGTGTGATGAGCTTGGTATCGAGAAGCGCCACTCAAGCCAATACCACCCACAGGGGAATGGATCGGCTGAAAGATCAATTCAAACCGTTAAAGACAGACTGCGTGCTATGATAATAGCCAGGCAGACACCTGTGACAGATTGGGATACCCTTCTTCCAGAAGCTGTGTTAGAGATGAACAGTCAAATGAACAAGTCGCTTAAGGCGTCACCATTCTCGTGTACTTTTGGTAAAGATGCTAGACTAGCAGTTGATAATTTCTTCCAACTACCAAGTATTACCAATGAGCTCAGTCAAGAAGAGATCTTAGTAGCAGCTAATCACAATCGTGACATGGCCAAGAAAGCATACAAGATTCAACATGACAAGAACGCCTCAAAGGAGAGTAAGGAGTGGAAGCAAGGAGACCGAGTGCTAATAAAGCGTACACATGGTAAACATAAAAAGATCTCGCCTAAATGGGTTGATGGACCATTCCACATCGTTAGGAAACTCAGCGATGTCAACTCAGTGAAAGCAGTATTAATGACATTCTCACTTTTCAGAACTAAGTGCCTAATATAATTAAGATATAACATCTAAACAGTTTTATTCCTGTTCCATATGATCGAGGATAGTCAGGGCTACAAAACCTGACCAAGTTTAGCTCAATCCAGTACTGCGCGTTCGAGATATGAGGTTAAATATACCAAAAATAGGGGTTTTCTGGTGTGACATCATTGTAAATTTTTTGAAGTATAACCTCAATATCTCACAAACTATCCATTTGTGGTCTTTCTGAGTTACACTATCTGTTTCCTCTGGCAATTTCGGTTCAGAGTCAATTAAGTTTGAAACAAAATCTCAGTAAATGTGAAGGTTCTGAGGATATCAAGTTTGTAACAAGCGCGCGCGCGCGCGCGCGCACACACATATGACCTCATATCTTCCACATTTAATGATTTTTTATGGAAATTCTTTCACTATCCTGTAGCACTCATGTGCTGAGTAGGATAGCATTCTAATCATGTCTTTAAAAGCTTTAGATAGATACTGAGGGCGAAAATTCATGCTTGTAACAAGCGCGCGCGCGCGCGCGCATGGCCCAAACTATAAGTTCAATGGACGGGAGGATTAAAGTACTTTCATACACACC